TATTACTGCATATACTTAAGGAAACAGCAAAGTAAAATTTTTACTTGTGTATTGTTGAATTTAAGTGTCGGAAGAAATTTTTGATAAGTATTAAAATAATTATTTTCTCACACAAGTTTTAAATAATACTCATAAAACTTTAATCACTTTCCGAAATCCTCACAGAAAGTTAAGTACAAGATGAGCAGCAACATTTAACTATTAATGCTAATTTGAAATAGAGTGGAACCTCGAGATACGAGCGTTTCTATATATGAGAAGTTTGAGATAAGAGGAAAGTATGAGCAAAATATTTGTCTCTAAATATGAGCACTGACTCGAGTAACGAGCAATGAGACAGGCTGTATGTGTGCGTGGCGCCATTTCCCGATTTGACTCAAGTCGGGGAATCAAAAAAGAACACTGCGTGAACGCAGTGTTCTTTGATCTAAGTGTTTGTGTGCTTGTGAATTGTTTTTTACATTTAACATTAAAATAATTATATCATGATGCCTCCCAAGAATACTGCTGCCTCAGATAGTGCTGCAAAGAAAAAGAAGGAAGCCATGGCCGTTGAAATTAAGAAAGAAATTACAGATAAACGTAATTATGGTTAAGAGTGATGGATTTGGCGAAGACTTACATCGATGATATGCACTATTCTGAGGAAGTAGGAAGAAATTAAGAAACTAGATGTGGCCAAAGAAATTACCGTTACTTCCAAGCATTGTCCAAAAGTCCTAGAATATATTGAGAAGCTATCGTCGGTGTGGATTAACAAGAAGCAGTTAAAAGGTGATTTGGTGTTGGAAGCTATCATTTGTGCTAAGGCTAAGAATCTGTACTTGGACTTTCTCCAAAAAACACCAGGTACGTCAACTGAAGATGAGATGGCATTTAAGGCAAGCTGTGGATGCTTTGAAAATTTTAAAAAGAGAAGTGGTGTTCACAATGTTGTGCAATGTGGCAAGGCTGCAATAAATTTTGGCCAGAGTTCCTAAAATATATTACTAGTGAGGGCTTTCTTCCCCATCAAGTATTTAATTGTGATGACACAGGTTTTTTTTGGAAGAAAATGCCTAACAGGAGCTACATCATGTAAAAGAATCTTTGCCTGGCCACAAGCCAGTGAAAAATAGGCTTACTCTCTTGTTTTGTGCCAATGCAAGTGGAGATTGTAAAATCAAACTGTTGCTCATCTACCACTCAGAAAATCTGAGTTTCTGAGAGAGGAAAGGTGCAGGAAAACCAAATGAACGTGATGTGGCAAACCACCAGCAAAGCTTGGGTAACACGGCAATTTTTCATCAAGTGGATCAATAAGGTTTTGAGTCCCTCAGTGAAGAAATACTTTCATGAAAATCATGAAAATAAGTTGCCACTCAAGGCTTTGCTTGTCCTTGATAATACTCCTGCGTATCCTCCAGGGTTTGAAGGTGATTCGCTGGAAGAATTTCAGTTCATACAAGTTTCTTTCATCCAACACCACTCCACTTCTTCAGCCTATGAATCAGCAAGTTATTTCCAACTTTAAGAAGCTGGACACAAAGGCCTTGTTTCAAAGGTGTTTTGAAGTGGCTGCAAATACAAGCCTGACCCTCAGAGAATTTTAGAAGGATCATTTTAACATCTTACTCATCCAAGTCTCAGTGAGGATCCCAAATTCAACACAGAAAAAACTGTGGCCTTAAGAGTATTCCTGTATTAGGTTTTGATCCTCAACCTGTGGACAACACAGTGCAGCTAATCCAAGAAACAGTATCTCTGGGAAAAAGTATGGGTTTGGTTGTGGATGGTGCTGATCTGGATGAGTTAGTGGAGGAGCATAGTAAAGAACTTACAAGGGATGAATTTAAAGAACTTTACAAGGAGCAGCAGCAAGAGGTGGTAGAATAGCGTTAGTTAGGGGAGGAGGGAACAGGAGTGAGGGCCCCTCTTTCAATAAGATTAAAGAAGCTTTTGCAAAGTGGGAAGAAGTGAAAACTTTCTTTGAAGAAAATCACCCTCAGTGTGTGGGCACTTCATGAACTTGTATAATGACAATAATATAGAGTCACATTTTAGAGGCCTCTTAAAAAGTAGAGAGAAGCAAGCGTTATTAAATAAGTTTTTGGTAAAGCAGCCTGTAACTAAAAAAAAGTTAAGGCATTCTGACCCAGAACCTGCTTCCAGTAGGTTAAAAATTACCAAGAAGAGAGTGCCTTCCTGAATCAGAGGGGGACTCGCCATTTCCCACAGTAACCAATTTCGTCTTCCCCACATCCCTATCACCAGTCAGGTCTCTCCATAAAGGTGAACTATCATTATATTATTTACCAGTGTTATTCATTAGAAAAATTGATTTTTATGTTGATATTTTTTAGGGCGCAGAATGGATTAACTGGATTTCCATTATTTTCAATGGGGAATTTTGTTTCTAGATATGAGAAATTTGCTATATGAGGTCAATGCTGCAACGAATTAAAATCATATCCCGAGCTTCCACTGTAAATCAAACACAGCATTATCACAGTGACTATGCTATATAATTTAAAAGATGCCTCAGAAGATAAACATCATCTCATATTAGAGGAATTATTTCAGAAAGAAGCTCTGTAGCTAGAAAAGAAATAATGTGTCATTTTAATAATACAAAAAACTCTGTTAATTGTTAACCAAATAAAATCGAATTACCTTTTTTCTATCTAATATACACTCATGTTCATAAATTAAGGATAATTCGGAGTCAGGCGGAAATCGAACTCTAAAATAAATATATCACCTGTAAAACCACTACACACATCTTCAAGAATCATATGCAAATTTCAGAAAGTAACCAGATGACACCGATGGTACGTCACAATGACGAGAGTGTAAGAGAGTGATATATAAGGAATACAGGCAAAGAAGTAAAATTCTTCGCAGGCGCTTTATAAGCATTTCAGTGCAATAACTGAATAGTTATGACACAAAGGACTCATTTGGATGATTTTTTTTTTTTTTTTTTTTTTTTTTTTTTTTTTTTTTTTTTTTTTTTACGTGGTAGAATTATCGGCCGTCTGGAATGTGGGTGTACCCAACTGGAAGTATCAGACGAATTTGGAACTGCCCAGAATGTCATCTCCAGGCTTTAGCAACGATTACAAGATGATGGTAATGTGAGTAGACGTTACAGCACAGGTCGCCCCAGAGTTACAATGTCGAATGAGGACCGGTATTTGGCAGTTACTGCCAAAAGAAACAGGTGGAGCACAGCCTGAGATCTGTCTCGTCAGCTCTCTTCAGCCACTGGTACGACAATTTCAAGGCAGACCGTGTACAGACGCTTCGGACAGATTGGTCTATATGCTCGTAGACCTGTCAGATGCGTTCCACTTACTGCAACTCACTGTCGCCTGCGGTTAGCCTGGAGTAGAGAGCATGCATTGTGAACACCGAAAAAGTGGGCTTGTGTGATGTTTTCCGAGGAGTCCAAGTTTAGCTTGCAGTCTGATTCTCGCCGGACTTTCATATGTAGAGCTCCAGGTACCCGTTACCACCAAGAAAACATCATTGAACGACACTGTTACGGTAGTGCAGGAGTGCTCGTTTGGTATGGAATTATTCTGGGTTCCAGAACTGACATGCATGTTCAAATTGGAACCATGACAAGCCAAATCTATCGGGATGTCATTCTGGAACAACATGTACATTTGTTTCGGGGCGCCATGGGTGCACAATTTGTGTTTATAGATGACAATGCCCGTCCTCACTGTGCAAACATCATAAGCGAATGCCTTCAATCGGAGGATATCACCCGTATGGACTCGCCAGCATTCTCACCGGACTTGAATCCAGTAGAGCACGTGTGGGACATGCTTGGCCGACGAGTTGCAGCCCGTCAACCTCCTCCTACATGTGTACCAGAACTTCCGAGAGCATTGCTTTTTGAGTGGTGTAATATCCCCCAAGATCAGATCAATAATTTGATACTCAGCATGCCTAGGCATTGTATGGACTGTATTGCATTGTCTGGGAGACATACAATGTATTAACAATCATACCAACCATGTAATATTGGTTTCTTGTAAATAGGTTTTTTTGTAATTTGCTCCAGGGAGAAAAAAATCACTAATTCTTTTTAATAATATCAAACATATAGCATCTTTTTTTGCTCTTTACCTTTTGTTTAATAAATAAGCTTTACAAATAAGTCAAATTTGTTTTTCTTCTAACTCTTCCTTTGCCTGATTTTGCATTATCCTTAATTTATGGACATGAGTGTAATTAGCAAAAACTTGTGAAAACATTTCATTCAAATTAAAGCTGTTTAGAGCAAAGTGTTCTGGGAAAAGTATAGCATTTAATTCCATTTCAAAATGAAATGTTGTTTAAAAATGTATTCTTTCACCACTTAGGAAATATTGTAGAAAAGGAAAATAAGTACATTTATACTTATATTTACATAAGTACAAAAAGTTTACCTCCGAACAAGTCAAAACCTACAGTCAATGAAAGTTTTCATAAACAAGGAGGGAGTGTCACAGCTTTAAAGAAGTGAATGGTACACACCAATTCAGCTTCCTTTCCTTCCACCATGGTTGAATGTCATTTTAAAGTTTTCAGGTATATGAATGGTAGATCATATTATTTATGTATTTGTCATAAATAATATGCTCTACCATTGCAGCCTACCATTTGCCTTTTTCTGCTATTTATATAGCCATTACCTTTCTAAATGAAACAGCCAGTGCATCAAGTCACAAAAATGGAATTTGCTCATTGCTTTGATGATTGCAGGAAAATGCATATTTTGGAACTATGCTAAAATTATTATATGCGTAATGTATGTTTAAAAAAATTAGAGACTTTTAAAAGAATTCATTATATGATAGTAATACCTGTTTTAAACTGTAACTATACTTAAAAAAAAAAAAAAAACTACTACTTAAGACAATGAAAACTGCATCGAATGAGTGAAGTAACTGCCTAAGGCTCACTAGCCAGTGTCTAGTCATATTTGGGTTAGATGGTACCATATTAAAAACAAATCAATAATTTACCTTATCTTGTCTATCAGCTTGAACTCCATATTTCCCACCAAATCCTTTGACTGCATCAACCTGGGATGCATGTTTCTCAACTTGAGCTACATAATCATGGCCCACAGCAGACTAGAATAAATTTATTATAATTGCGATAAATGGCTAAGTTTAAAATATGCATATATCATAAACAATTGCATAGATCTCAGTTATGACAAGTATTACACACCATGGTGACATTACAAGGCTGTCTCCCAATTTAAAGTTATTATTATTTCACAAAATTTAAATTGAGAAAATGTTGTGAAATGCAACATATATTTTAAAATTATTTCACAGGTGATCCATAAAAAACTGCAGCTATTAAGCAATTTTTTGAGAAAATATAATCTTAGAGCATATAGCTCACTGCACAGATAATTTACTTTTAACTACATTTTGAATGAAAAAGTTTTTCATTAATTCACAATCAGTAAACATTCAATTGGTATAAAAAGTGGTTATTTAAAATAGGTCTGGTAGAATGATTTTCCAAAGGTGGGTTTCCTAGCAATTTTCTTGATTATTGTATTTGAGGATAACCATATATGATCTTGTATTTTGTATCTTGATTATTGTATTTGAGGATAACCATATATGGTAGGTGCCATTTAATGTCATTTCAATTGACTAATCAAATTGTCCTGCCAATTTATATGAGGAAGCCTACAAATGGAAAATACATCCCTTGTGCGTTATGATCAACAATTCAATTAATGTTATTAAAATACTGCACAATGAATTTCTTAAACTTAAATAAAATCACCAAATAAAGTCAAAATAGAATATAGAAATTGCCAAGTGAAAGAGATATATCGCCAAGTTGCAAAGCCATATTAAGTTGTGAAGCAGCTTCATTTTGATCTAAGACTACCATGAAGAAAAGAGCCCAGCCAGTTTTCCAAATTCAGAAAGATCAACTGGGTTAATTAGAATTAGCAAGTAATGAAACAGAATTCTAGACAACCTTGCTTTTTCGTACCAAAATATATTTTTGACCATAAAGTTCTCACTTTTATTCTGTTAAATTAAATGTCAGGGAAACTAATGAGCTGTTAAGTGAATTATTGCTTAGTTCAAAGAACAGAAATCGTAAATGCAAGAAGGGTTAATTACCCTTTATTCACTCAAAATAAGATGAACATTCGGCTCCTTTCTTCGGGCTTACAACAATGCCTCCACTTGAGCTATAACTCAAAAATAAGAAATGAGAACTAACTATATCTAACTAAGAGATTTAGTCGAAGCTAACAAAATTCTAACGTAGTTAGCCCGTAAAACTAGCCAGCAAACTATCAAAAGGCATGTAACATATGGCCCAGCATAACAGCAGTTAGAGAGACTTAGCCCAAAGACAAACGCATACTACTCAGGATTCCTAGTTCTTTCTCACAGAAGTAAGTTGAATTTTCCTTTTTAATATTATTTCTTCCTCATTTGCATTCAACAAGATTAAAAAAACTCATTCTGGAAGGTAGCTGCAAGTTGAAATGAGGCAAGATAGGCTAAGGTTAACTAAATTAAAATAACTATTATAAAATTAAAATATACCTCACATGACAAATATCCGTAAAATTCAGACTGCACCATCAAACACAGAAGACGATATTAGTCGTTTTCTGAAACAAATCCAAGGAATACCATTGATAACTCTCTGAAGAAGAAAATGATGAACCTGGTGAATTTCCAAGAAATGCTGAGATGATGGACTACAAATATTAGTTGTATTTGAATTAAATTTGTTACAGTACAAAGTCCAAAATCCAGACTCGTCGGGACTTTGGTGATTCCAGATTTGGGATTTTTTCGGATAATAGATCATCAGTTTAAATCTAGTAAGATGGCATGTAGAAATTTTAAAATTAAAAACATGAAATTGTGATTTATGAAATAATGAAGTATTTATGATCTAAAGAATATCAAAATTTACAAAAACAAAAGCTTAATATTTATTTGCTTACCTTACTAAACATTTTTTTCAATGTAAGTTGCTTCATTTTTTTGTGCTAATACTTTCTCTTTAATTCTGTAGACAGACATAATCTCTTGTTTAATTACATTGTTGAAGTCCTGTAACTGCTATTTTGAGAATTCCATCTAATCGTCTGACTAATTCCGACTAATTTTACTGTCAATTGAAATTTTCTCGTTTTCAGTAACTTCTCTGTCACTTTCTTAACTATCGGTAGAAGTTTTTCTGGATTTAGAACCATACTACAGATTTCGCCCCTCATTAATTGATTGATGATTGAGAAGCATTATCATCACAATTAAAAACTTTTTTTATATAATCTTCATTTATTACCACTTCTCCACATTTCTTTACAAAATCCGTTAATTGGAAAATTTCACCTTTGTTTTGCGATATCCGAAAACTTTTAAAATTAATGGCTATCATCATCAAATTTAGTTATTCTTCACTATACATATTTGGCTATGCATCATGAGCTTGGCGACTAATGACAAGTCGCTCTGTTAAATTTCTTGCTTCTATCGCGTAGAGCCAATAAAACCTGAATTGTATTAGTTAGTTATTATATTTATGTCTATTTCTTGTACATGTTTAAGGCTTATCAGAGTTCTGAATAAATAAATTCCCACCATATACTTAAGCCTTATTGAGAGCTGACGCTAGATAGATATCTTACCACCAGATGCAGTTTCTGTCGGTCCTAAATTCTCTGACTCGATGCAGCCATATGAGCCCTTGTGCTGGTTCTGGGTTTATGTGAATAACAAATCAGTTATTCTTGATTCAAATAGCCCTAAATGTAATCTTTGAGTCTATGAGTATTATCAACAAAATTTATTTTTAGCATATGAAAAGAAATTTTTGGTAAATGTTTCCTTGTCAACATTTTTTAGCGCATTTAACTTAAATCTGTATTCATCACCAGGCGTAATGTCAACATAAAAGGTTACCATACTCCTTTATTGTTCAATTACTAACATAAAAAAATTGTTTATGTATTGCTACATGAGTCATTACTTAATTTATCATGTTTTGATAAACATGTGGTGTTGAAAGGAAAGTATAATAAATAATGATTCGCCAAGTTGGCGTCAGATCAACGATGTATCTATGTGGAATGTTTGGGTTTTAGATGTATGCCAAGCATATACGCAGCAATGGAGCCAAATTACTGATGGTACAAATTTATGCTAAAATAATTGTTTCTTCAGTAACAAGGTATTTTATTTAGTGTCGAAGTCAAATTAAGAATTGGGACTCTCCCCATGTTTTATTATACACAGAGGGGGGAATCAAATGCGCATGCGTAAAGCCTACGAGAAAACGTTGTTGGTGGCTTTGATGTCCAGATTTTTGATCATTCTGTATAATGTAAGTCCATATTTCGGACTTTTTACTGTAATACTTATTGTTATGGCTTAAGACTAATGTTCTTAGCATTATGGTTTAAGACTAATAGATGGATCCATAGTTACCACAAAATGTTAGTGCATATCAGAACGTTGTGTAATTTCCAACAACCTAAATTCAAAAATTTTGGAAACGCATTTTTGTGGCTCCAACCAGATGAAACTACAACACATATGTAAATTGAATCCATTCTGCAAGTAATGTTTCTTAGGTGCTTCATTATACAGCATGGTCACATTACAATGCTGGTTCACTCCTAGATGTATGTTGAAGGTCTGGCTAGGTCTTGCATCAATGGCAACATCTTTACATCCTTACTTTAAATCATTATGCAACTAAAAAAATAGCATAATTGCATAAGCAACTTACCAACAGTTTCATTCACTTCTTGGAACATAATTACAGTAGCATTAAAGCCTTGTCTAACAAATAACACAATATACTGCTGTCCAATTTGAATTTGATATTTAGAACAAACATTTATATTATATGATTCAAGGTCACTTTGTAACAGAACCAAATCTTGATTACTTTTAACAAATACCTTTCTTCCAAAGTGATTAGAAAAACCACTAGCTGCTGAATGGTAAAGTCCGTGAATACTACTAGTTCGACTGGGGTTTGAATCCCAGCAAACGGATTGGCTGCATGAGTGTTTCTGTGGTTTACCCCATGCTGTAGCGTGTATACAAGATAGTTTCCCTTAAAAAGTCCACTACAAAGTGTTCCATCTTCTTAAGCAGATAGCCTTCATGTGGTTTGCTATAATTACAATAAACCAAACCAGACCAGACCAACATGATTACACAAAATTTTACTTACTGTTACTTTGGAAAAATTGTTAGAGCCTTAGAATTTATGGTATCAGTTCACTAATCAAATGATCAGCATATATTTCATGCAATTTTATACAAATGACTTACCATTCTTTTTATTTACTTAGCCATTTTTAATAGATTGCAAATGGTATTGTGCCTGAACGAACAACTTTTAACAATATATATAACAGTACAATGTTGAAGCATTTTAATTCTAATAAGCAAACCAAACTGATCCACAAACATTTTTTGACGACCAGAAATGTCTTAGAGAGAACCAGTTTCACACTTCAAACATATTATCACATGAATTACTTTTATTAATTCTTAATGCAGATTGTTGTTTAGCACACAGTATTAAGCAAAGCTGCTACTAATATTTTTGACAATATCCAGAAAATTCTTCTAAAAAGCACACTTTTTTCTTGTAATATATTTTGCAATTGCAATATTTTTAAATACAGTCTTGCTCCAGTATCCTGGATATTGTAACAAAGTTTTCAGTTATTTTCAATTTAAGGGATCAAAGGTTTCAATTTCACAATAAAAGTCCAAAGAAAACAAATGGTATAACTAAAATCCATTTACCACTCTCTTTCCACAACAGTTGTTACAATGAATATCTGCTTCGGATGAATATAGTTTAGCTTAGTATATCAATTATCAATGTATTTAATTTATTAATTAAATTAGATCATATAATTTGCATGAAGATCATGTTAACACAGCATCTTAACACACCCATGATAAACCTTACTTGCAAATATGGGAGCCATTACTGTAGTTATTTAAAATATGTTAATGGATTACTACTCCTTTGCACAACGTGTTTCATGAAATTATACAGCTCTTGATTTTCATGCATTAGAATAAGCATTACTTAAAGAAAAAAATCTGATGTGTACACCACGAATTCCTTGTACGGAATATTAAATTACGCAAATTTTTTCCTGCATTTCACTTAAACTTATTTCCTCAAATTTCATTACAGATATATTTCTCATTCAATTAATTCAGCTCTCACTTCACGACAAGGCAAAAAATACACAAAAACTCAAAATATTTATATTAAAAATTGAAACATATTGAAAGATATAGAATATTAAAAATGATAGATACAGAAAAACATAAAACACCAAATACAGTTAAAAAAATTAACCCTCTAATGGCAAGGCCATATACATACCTAGAATTTACCTAGAATATGCCTAGAATTCTTTTGTGATATCTAAGAACATATATATATACGTGCATATTAAAATAAGTCAAAAAAATTAAGGCAATATATTAAAAGTACACAAATCCAGGTATAAAATACCAGAAGAGTTTTTACATTAAAATTAAGAAAATAATTTGTTCTCATAGTAGTTTTGAGAAATTTGTACTTTCTTAGCAAATAACCTGGCTGGTCAGAGGGTAATTTTTTTTTTTTTTTTTTTTTTTTTTTTTTAAATTCAAATTCCAGTTTCTACTAAAAAACAAGCAATTCGGCCAGCAGGCAAGAAGGCAGATTTTTCGGTGCACAAAACTGAAAGTTTTTCTTTTGTTCTCAATCGGCAAAAAGACACTGATTTAATTTGTTGGGGACACTATGCTGAGTTAATATATGGGATAATTGGGTAGAGTAGACTTTAAGGTACCCCTTGTATTATGGCGAAGTTGTTTGATTTATCGCCAAGCTGTTGTTTCATTCATGGTAGTCTGAGTAGTTGAATGTTATGGGAACCCTATTGTGACGTAATCCGGTGCATGATTCTGGGAAATTTTGAATCATGGGATGTTTTGTAAGCATTTTTGTGGTGTGTGTTGGTTTGATTCTTTAGAAGGTAGAATGGCCAAATGTAGTAAGATTAATTTGAAGTTTCTGTACGATTTGGAGCGAAAGGGGAAAAGAGCTTTAATTGATTGGTGTGTAAATGAAGGTTTACTTAGTAGCCATTATAAGTGTCCTGTATGTAGGAAGGATATGTGTCTAGTCGAACGTAAAAACCATTTAGATGTATTTGAATGGGTTTGTAGGAAGAAAAGTTCAGATGGTCACTATGTGAAGTGTTTGATCAGAAAGAGTACTTGGTTTGAAAAAAGTCATTTGAGTATGATTGATATTTTGATTTTTACGTGGCTCTGGGTGTACGAAGAGAACTCGAAAATCAAGGTAAGTGAATATTTGCTTTTGGTAGTGCTTAAATGTACAACATGTTTTTCCTTTTTTATGTTATTTTATTGTTTGGTTTAAAATGTATTTTATTGAGATTATGTATTTTTTTGTATGCCTATATTGTAGAATTTGGTGCTCTTTTGACTTTTTAAGTGAAAATATATCGATGTGTACATACAAAGTAAAGAGAGTGCGCAATGCAAGTTTGTGCAATTCTGGGATTTTTTTTTAAAGTGAAAATAGGTCAACGTGTACATGGATAAAGTCAAAGGAGTGCGCAATGCCATTTTTGTGCGATTCGAGGATTTTTTTTTAAGTGAAAATAAGTCGACGTGTACATGGATACCAAGTTTGTGCAATTGTTTGTCTTGTTATTTTGGCTCTGTGTAGCGGCGATTTTTGCGGCAAGCCAAAATTACGAGTCAAAGAATTGCACAAATTCGGTACCCATGTACCGCCAATAATCGCCAAGGGGTACCCTAAACTATACTTTTACCGGGATAATTTAATAACTTAAACGATAATTCCAGAATGGATTAAGCATAATTTAATTCGCAATAATAAAGATGTTACACTGTTGTTGTGAAGCTTAGTTTCTCTACACTGGCAACCAATCCACTATTTTGCTAAGTTTCAAATGTAAACAAATATGGCTGCTAAGCCAAAAAAAATTAGGCTTAGCCACAATTAAACAAGTTTTAAATACTTAATAATTCTAAAATTATAACATGCAGGTTAACTAGAGGCATAAAAACCTTTACCGGAAGATAAGAAAAAAAATAATTCAATCATTTTTAAAGCAAATCCTTACATACAGATGTCATGCAAAAGCATCGTTAAATTGCATTCGCTAGCAGTCAAAATGGATATTTTCTTTGAAACATGGTACCCAGAATTTTTCGTAATTAGAATACTTTCTTTAATAAAAAAGTAAAAAATGCTTTCTCTGCAATAAAACAGAAATTTATTTTTAGTATTCTTCCTTAATTATATAGCCAGGATTTAAATTTAAAAAACAATCAATTCTAGAGAAACTTCAAACAAGAAAATAGCAATAAAAATATATAAAACTTCTATTAGTAAATTAAGTAAGGTGCAAAAGCTCTTTATAAATATTACAAAACATAAATAATACCTTATCCATTCTGTCAGCTTGAACTCCAAATTTTCCACCATACCCATAGGAAGACTTGAGACCACTTTCTAATACTTGTTTTTTAAATTCGGTATCATCTTTTACGACATTTGACCTTAATTCTTGAATACTATAAAAATAATGCACACATTTTAACCTAAGATAAAGTCTCATTACTGAAATTATATTGAATATAAAGGTGTACTAAAAATCAATTATTAAAAAAAAGTTAACAGTAGGTCTTGATGTCAATAAAATTATGCATATTAATTAGATTCTACTAATATTTGCTTCAAAATGACAATTTCAAATTATTTTTAAAAAAATTTCAACAGAAAGTGACAAGTAATATATGAAATGAAAGAAAAACTGTCCTAATTTTGCTTACGTGCACTTACCAGGTTTCCCGCAGCCAGTTCCTATAACAGTCATGTCCATCTCACACACATAACAGCAGCTATGTTCGCGGCAATTTCTTTCACTTACCAAATGCTTCACTATATTACAAGCATTGCTGAATAGTGGTTATTTTTTGCATTTAAGTTATTTTGTGATATTTCGTTATTGTGGTTAATACATAGTCTTTTGCCAACACATTAAACATCTAAAATTTTATTAGGATCATTTGTTACATTTTGGAACCAAAACATATTTCTCTTATAAATAAATTTTTAAAAAAAATCAGCATAATGGCTACAGTCAAAGAACTAAAGGAAAAAGGTGCAACTTTAAACAAAAAGAAGGGGAAGAAAGCAAACAACTTAGGAGTACAAAGACTGCGGGGAAAAAATCATGACTGGATGTAGAATATTTTGCAAATACTATTCTTTATTGCAGAGTAATATATATTTATTACATATATTTTCGTTTTAACAAAACTTTTTGGTTTCTTTGTGAATTTACTTGAAACAAAGTTTTATTATTTACTTCATTGTGCCAGTAAAACAAAGTTTTATTATTTACTACACTGTGCCATGTAACATGTTTTAAATTTACTAAATTACGTTTGAAAATAAAAATTCAACAATAACACCAATCCCAGTAATTAAGACCACAGCCACAGAAAACTATTAATTGTTGTTATTAATACTACCAAACCTTATTTTACTATTAGACACAGAAATTGCACTGGAATTTATGAAAAATTGTTATTGTAAAAGAAATTTGTACATACTGCAAACAAAACTCAACTGGCCGCTAGCTATGGTCATTTATATCAAAGGTAATAGCAAACCTGTTTAACGGCCATCCACAATGGGGTTTGTCTGAGCTAAAAGAGTCAGTTCCATATGTCATCTAACCCCACCATATGTAAAGTTGAGATTTTTCAACTGAAGTAAAACAGCCCCCCCCCCATTACAGTGCAGCTGTACTGGTTGTGCCAGATGTTTCAATTAGCTCAAACAAACTCTGGTGCGAAACGCCTTTTAAATGACTTCTTTTAATTAAATGATCTGGCTTAAGATGACATTCAAATTCTTACCCCTTTTTACTGTCTCTGTAATAATATACTTTTTGAGGTCATTTAACTTATGGCTGCATGCCATATGCTAAAGATACATCTTAGGGAAAAAAGCACATGGCACGAGACCTACTGACCTTGGGGGTAAGTTGTGGAACTATCCTCCCTTTACAGCTATGGCACAGCAATAGTATAATTAATGATGCCTTTTATACAGCCATCCTAGCCAACAGAATTGCCAATATCACTTATGAAAAATGCACTTAGTAGATCAATTCCATAACACCAAAGAAACTCAAACTCAGCCAGGATTATAAAAATGCTTACTAGAACAATCATAACATGTATACTTTTATGTACACTAGAAATAGTCAACAAAAAACAAACTGAAGAGTATTGTTAGTAAACTATGTGGCAGGCAAAAACACCTATTACCAAGGAAAGCAGCACAGCTATAAAGAAAATGATGTACATGCCCAAACACAATAGGGAGGTCATGTAACATCACATAATCGAAAGTTAGCCAAGTCATTGTGCAATGGATTTAGCCATCCTAACAATTACTACATAAGAAGCTTGAAAAATGCACACACACACACACACACACAAAAAAAAAAAAAAAAAAAAAAAAAAAGATAGAGAGAGAGAGAGAATGCAATTTTTTTCATAGCAGATTGCACAGAAATCTGCAGAAGAATGACAAAAGTGTTTCAGCCATCAAACACTACCCTACAGCTTAATGTTCTTAATCTGATAAAATGAAACTTATATATTTAAAGATTGCTCAGTCAATACACATGATGAGTTGCCTATCTCTTCAATCACATGATGCGACAGCTGCTCTTTGTAGCAATATATGCTCCAAATTTATAATTTTGCTTTTCCTTTTCTGATGTAATGAATTCTTATGAGCAACGGTAATTTGAACAGCATACAACAGAAGTTACCTCAATTTTTCAATCATATAATGTGGTCCCTCTTTACTGTATGTGCATGTTCAACATTTTTCTTAATATTATATGACTGCTTCCCAGCTAATCAGCTTTAGTACTGGTTCTACAGGTTTCCATAACAGACTTCAATTTATTTCTTTATTAACTGCTTTTCAAAGATACACATGGGTTTTTAATTCTTCTATCAGAAAACATTTCTATCTAAAAAGCATACTTTTTTAACAAATCACAAGAACACTATAAATAAAAATTTAACTAGTGAAAACTAGTAAAGTAACTTAAAGCAATGCTTTTTGCTATAAGTTAAAAAGTCAAAAACAAACATTTACTAGAATGTAATTAATAAATGGAAACATCTGTATTGCTTATATGCCTAATTTATATTAGAAAAGTCACAATAAATAATCCTTCTATATCAGTGGTAAACAGCATTATATTCAAGAAGAAATTTTCCTACTTGATGGCAGCAGATGTTCTTCCTGATCCCTCAACAGTTTTAGAGCCCCATCTTTGCTCTTCTTCAGTGACATCATTCTAAAAGTATAATAAAGTAATATTTCAATTTAACTAATCTTTCACAATAAAGAACATATTACGAATTTTAGGGCTTTATTTTATAGATATAATTAGTATTAGATTGTCATACTGTTTCCAAAAGCATATTTTTTTTAACACAGACTTATATACTCTCATAGTGGTCTCTGAAAAGGAAAAATTATGACGCTTTTGCAGATTATGGAAACGCTTAGAGTTCCGCAACCACAAAACATAAAGAGTTGGTTTATGTTTCTTTTGATAGACAAAGGTGTACATTATAAACTATAAAAAGATTTCTGGAATTTGGAATTATGGCTCAGCCACAGCTGAGTGACAAAGTTAGGGAAAATCACAGGAATTCTGATGATGTCATATGCTGTGCACATGGATAGTAAGAAGCTAAACAACCCCAATCTCATGCATTCTCAACTGGTGGGAGGCTCTGGCTCAGCTTCGAATGCGGTCGACACTTGACTGACACCACCAGAGAACACTTGCTGAATCAGCAAGGCAATTCATTATGATTGACAATGACAGTGAAATTGTACAATTGATTATTACTAATTTTAATGCTCAAAGTTTGACTGCATATTATAACTATCTTATAAGAGATGAAACAATAGAGCAGTCCAATTTTACTGTGATGTCTGGAGGTTTGAGGATGAACCTATTCACAGGAGGATGGTTTTGAACTGAAAGCACTATACATTGAAAGTCATTCTGAAGTCAGACAACGAAAAGCCAATTGTTCAGCTAGCTACGGGAATCCAACAAGCACTGCAGATTGCAGTCCAGTTCAGTTTACTTTAAACTACAGAAGAAGGATAGAAGAAACAGAGGCCAGTGAAATACATATGGTTGATACTACAACTAATGAACAGTCACATTTTATATTGGCATCTGTATACATTCATCTGTCAGTTAATTCAGGTAATTTTAAAATGTTTCTCTCTAGTGTGCTTATGAGATACTCAAAGTTATATATAAATACAAACATACCGATAATTATGATGGGAGATTTTAATGTAGACATAAAAAGAAATGAAAAGGCATTTGATTTCCTTAAACAACATTTTAATTTGAACACGTTACCTTCAAATTATCCAAGTACGCTTAGCAAGTCATTTATAGATCTTACATTCACATGAAATATTACTATACAATTATTAAATTGTGTTCATTATTTCTCATATCATTGTCCTACATTGCATAAAATAGTTATGAATAGAAACTATACAAACACGAATAAATATGATTTACATTTTGCAACTGAAATTCCTTTTCGAAAAAAATCCCAAGTCACAAAAGGAACAGCCTATCTAAGCATTAAACCCCAATGGCCATTTGGAACAGAATGCCTCCTGTCATTTTTTCCTCTTTCTGAGATGTTAACTTAGATAGATAAATCTGAGAAGTTTAGAACAAATTATTTTATTTATTGTTCTTTAAATTTCAGCAGAAAAATCTAAAATCATTCAACTATAACATAAAATCTTTTGGTTGAAATTTTTAAACAACAAAAGTCAGTAATAGCAAAAGTTAGTAATGTAAAACTCATCAATCATCAGTTAAAAAATACCTCTGGCAATACTGTACATAAAATATTAAAGTAATGACGTGAAGAATATAAAACACAAAAGAAAACTGATACTTGGACACTTACAATGAAATCTGGATCAGTTTCCCAATCATCATCACCTCCATCACCATTTTTTGCATCATTTACATTATAACCTACAGTTGCTCGCCACATTTTAACCTACAAAATAAAAACAAGCATCACTCAATACAGCTGATGAAGTTAATGTTAATAAATCAACAATTAAAACAAGAAGTTAAGAAGAGTAATATATAGCTCTTGTATCATTTGAAATCTGTAATACAAAGAAGAAATCATGCAAATAAGCTAAAGCTTATAGGACTTGCAAAGCAGAATATGATGTGCAAATGATTTTAGTTTCAGAGCAACATTGTCTGCATTTGCTGAGCAGCTCCCTTAAATGAACTGCCATGTTAGTTGTATAAATAAAAGGCTGTGGTGGAAGATTTGATTAACAAACTCCAGGATTTCAAAGCGAGCAATGGAAACATTGTGCAGAAAAAATACTTTTTTCTCCAGCGCGCAGCACTGGGTATCGGAAATTCTAAAGATATGCTCATTTTTAAATTATTTTGCGATATTGCTGATGAACTGAATTTTATGGTAAGTGTGAAGAACACGATATTTAATAAATAAAGGCAACACACAAAATGTTAAAAAACGCCCCTTTGGACGTAATTTAAAATCTGAAACCTAACAGTCTTACTTTTTTTTTTTTTTTTGGTGTGTGTATTTGTCAATAAATACAATGATATATGGATTATTCATTAATTGAAGGAAAGCAATTTTATCTAGTACTAAAAGGATACTTCCTTATTATTATGCCCCCAATCTGAAAATGATGGCAAGATTATTGATATACTGTCAATGCAAACCACTATCAAATGGTTGGTTGTCTTAACCATGATCATTTATAATCTTCTTATGATGAGAACAGCTCGGAATAAACCATGTCTTATATTTTCCTTTTTTTTCACATAAATGATAACAATTCACAATCACAATTCTCTCATCAGAAGTTCTGAGTATTCCATGTGTAAACACATATTGTTTCTAAAAAATTTAAAGTATTTGATTTACTAAGAAAAAAAAGTATATCTTTTTTCCAAGAAAACTGCATTTTACCTTGCAAATATGCAAAAAATGGCCATTAAGGAAAACTACATACAAATGAAAGCATTTGGAAGGGCAATACGAAAAGCTGCAGTGAAGGAAAAGCATACTGTTGCGCCTCTCACATTTTACAAGAATAAGTCTGGCAACAACTGTAGTAGAAAAAATTGTGCATTGCTTGAATGGCAACAAGCAGATGATATTCCATACATTTTTATTTTTAATGCAGCCTATTTTTTGCGATTCTATTGCGTTAAGAAATTGAGTTCTAGTTTGGATAAAATGAAATCTGCTGAGGATATTAGAGATATTACTCAATTTGCTGTATTTTACAAAATGAGAACTCTTATGTTTAAGTTTGCAGTATTTAAATTACAAAAGTTTTCTTTAGAAAAATTACACTGGGTTTACCCTTTAGGATCAGACAAGTGAAATTTTCTGTTATTGTGGTTCTACATAATTTTCAAATATAAATATGAATAGAATTCTCTTAAATGCATACAAAAAATCTAGAATGGTATTTTAATTTGTAGATGTTGAGTATACATTCTAGGTCGGAGCTTGTTGCATTCAGGTATGAAAAGTAAGAATTTTTGCTTACAACATAAGAAAGTGGAAAGCCAGTTATATTTATATATATAAGGGCGAGTCAAATGAAAGTGAGCCAACCCCTCCTCAGCCAGAATGGTTCGGTCCATCATCTGCGGCGCATCCGCGTAGCACAGAGACAGCCTTCATTTACGAAAGTGGCGCGAAAGTGTGAGGTTAAAGTTCTTTAAGGCGCTCTTACACTGGGTTGAAGACGGTAGCGTGACATAATGGACGCTCCAAAAGAGGAACAGCGTGGTGTGGTCAGGTTTTTGACAGCTGAAGGTGTTTCCCAACATGAAATTAGTCGCCGTATGACTGCTGTGTACGGTGAACATCGCATCGCATTGGCCACTGTGAAGCGTTGGAGCAAACGGTTCAGAGAAGGACGTGAAAGTTGCAAAGACGATCCAAGACCGGGCCAAAGCCACCTTGCACAGGTTGATGAGCTGATTAGACAAGAACGGAGGAAAAGCATCGATGAACTGGCAGAGCGTGGGAACATCAGTCACGGCTTAATTCATGATCATCTCGGTTATCGGCTTTTGTGTGCTCAATGGATGCCCAAGATTTTGAACGACCGCCAGAAGACGGAGAGGTTTGGCGCTGCTTTGACTCATCTCATCCGGTATCACAATGAGGGTGACGACTTCTTGTCTGCAATTGTGACCGGAGACGAATCATGGTGCCACCACTACGAACCTGAAACACGCCGGCAAAGCTTACAGTGGAAACATTTGAATTCACCACCCCCGAAGAAAGCAAAGGCTGTCATTTCCTCGGGAAAGGTGCTATTGACTTTTTTTTTCGATCGTCAGGGGCCATTACTGATTGAATTTGCTAAACGTGGAGAGACTATCAATAGTTTGCGATATCGTGCAATGCTGGATCGGCTGCGTGTTGCAATCAAGAACAAATGACCTGGAAGATTGACGAATGGTGTGATCTTGCTACACGACAATGCTCGTCCCCACGTCGCTGATGTGGTTAAGACACAACTGGCAAAGTTCAAGTGGGACACGCTGCAACATCCTCCATACAGCCCAGATTTGTCGCCATGCGACTTTCACATTTTCAGGAAACTGAAAAAACATCTCAAGGGTACCAGATTCGTGTCGGACGACACCGTGAAGGAGTCGGTTACAGACTTTTTGAATCGACAGCCCAAGGAGTTTTATGAGACGGGGATCACGCGGCTCATTTGTCAATGGGATAAATGTCTCAATGTTCATGGAGACTACCTTTAAATAAAGTACTCTGTCTGTCATATATTCGCATTGGCTCACTTTCATTTGACCCGCTTTTGTAGTTAAGAAAGAATTGTATAAGCTGCATTGTATTAATATATAAATAGAATATTAATTTAAATTTTTAGTGGAAAAGTTATGCAATATATGTTAAATCATCTGCAATGTGGACGTAGAAAAAGTTATGCGTTAAATCATCTGCAGTGATATTAGAAATAATTTTGTTTTGCTGTATTATGAATGTTATGACTATTTTTTATTCATTTTTATTGTATTGATTTATACTTTTGCAATTACCAAGTAAAGATTTTTTGAAGATTTTTTTATCAGAATGCTCAAACTACAGATTTTGAGTTTTAAGTAGGTCTGCATTTAAAGGTAAAAATGGATGTCGATAAAGAAACGGCTTGCAACAGCACTAGAATGGTTAATGTTCTAAGGAATGAACTTAATAAATATATTCATGCAGATAAAGCTGTATTAAAAGATAAAATTGTGAAGTTACAAATAATAATTGCTGAGTTAAAATCTCATGATTCAGAGATACTAGATTTATTGATTAAGGGCAAAGTTGCTGAAGATGATCTAGAAACCGAAGTTATAAGCAGCGAGGAATATTCATATGAATTCATAATGCTTAATCATTGGGTGAAAGAGTGTATAAGATAATGCAGATGACCATAGTGTCAATACAAGTTCTAACACAAGAGAAATGCCACATGAAAAATAGTACAAATTTTCAAAAATTCAAATTAAAAAATTCGATGAACAATTATTAAGTTACCTTACATTTTTGGGTCAATTTAAGAAGATCCATGAGGATAAGGAACTTGATGACGCTGACAAATTCTACTATTTAGTTCAATTAATGTTACCCGGAACTCGGGCTAGTGAGTTGATACCCTTTAACAGCTGAAAATTACCCAAAAGCCATTCCTGTATTTAAAGAGCATTTTGGCAACAAGGAAATTTTAACTGAGATATATGTGAGGGAATTTTTAAAATTAATTATTCAAAACATACAAGAGAACGATCAGTTGCCACTAGTGTCACTTTTTGACAAAATCGAGTCACACATCAGATCTCTAGAGTCTTTAGGTTTAGCCCTAGATATTAATGCATCCTAGTTATATATTCCATTGTCAAGTCTTATCTGTCAGCTGAGATGCTTGTATCGCAGAGAAGTATTCTGTTCAGTAACGAGGGATCATGTCTCTCATCTCCTGGAATTTTTGCATAAAAAGGTCGAAGGAGAGCAGAGAGTTAAACTGTCCAGGTCTGGATTTGAAATTTCTTCTACTTGGTGTGATAAATATTCTTGAGATGTAAAATGTAAGACCAAAAATCCAAACATGAACACAGCAAGTCTAGTTGCTGTCAAAGAACAAAAATGTGTTTTTTTGCAGAAAATCTCATGAAAGTAAAGAATGTTTTACAGCTCGATCAACGTGGTTAAAGGAAAGATTAGACAAATTAAGAGAATTAAAATGCTGTCTTCACTGTCTTAAACTAGGACATTTTGGAAAGCAGTGCCAACAGTTTATTCAGTGCTATCCGTGCAAGCGATCTCACCCTATAATTTTATGTTCCCAAGGTATCAGAGAATAATGTTGAGAATAAAGCAAAGTGAAAAGAGTCACTAATGGTACAAAGTACAAGGTCCTCTCCCCTATGTATGAATGAAGTCAGTCTTACGACTTTAACAGTTGAAGTAGTCGCAGACAATGCAAAGAAGGTGGTCAGGTGCCTCTTGGATTTTGGATCCCAATGATCTTATGTTTTACAATACACAGTTGAGGCTTTCAATCTGAAAAGTACTTCCTCTGAGAATTTAACTCATGCACTATTTTGGGGAGCAAGGACTGAGTCAAAAATTCACAAGCAATATTCTGTAAGCCCAGTTGGGAAACTGGGTACCAATTTAGTTTTCTGGATCAAAATACCATTTGTAGAGGGATGCCACACTAAAAGGTCATTATTGAAGGAATTAAAAAGACACAGAATTTGGATTTCAGATGTTGCTGAGGGTCACCAGAAAATAGAAATCCTCATAGGGATTGATACTAAACTGGGGTGGACATTGTGGAGGGACCAACAGGAAAGATTATCTAACGTTTTGAGGGTACCCCATCCATATTATAACCAATCTTCTTATTCAAAACATGGAACCATCCGTTATGTGGAAGTTTGAAGCTATCGGCATTGCAGATGATGTACAGAGCATTTCAAAAGTCGCAAAAGACCAAACAGCGCAAGAACAGTTTCTTGGGCCTTCGCAGAAATGAAGAAGTTTAGCTTGTGTTTTAAAATTGCCCCCCCCCTCCCGAGATTCCCTCTAACTGGCACATTGCAGAAAAGAGATTACTACTAAGAGAAAATAAAATAAATATGATGAATATAGTACAGTATTCAGCAAATGAGGTTGTTGGAAGATGTCGTAGAAATTGTCTCAAAATCAGTAAAGAGTGACAGGAGCCATTATTTACCACATCATCTAGTAACAAAATTAGGTAGCCCCACTACCAAGATTAAGCCTGTATTCAATGCATCGAGCAAAGTCGTTGGTTCGCTTTCGCTAAATGGTTGCTTGATAAAAGGTCCAAATCTTGTAGAAGAAATCTCAACCATTCTAATGTGATTTAGGGAAAAGGCAATTGGTGTAACATCTGACATTAGGTGAGCCTCTTCACAGATTGAGATAGAGTGCGAGGATTAAAACTACTTAATGTTTTTGTGGTGGGTAAATTACAGAATCGAAGTCTTTCATCACAAGAGGGTTGTTTTTAGGTTAACTAGTAGCCTCTATTTATTGGCAGCTGTGATTTCATTTCGTTTGCCACGTGTTGCTGTTGCGAAAAAACTTGGCAAATCATTTTATGTTGACAATCGTGTCACGTCATTCGATGATGCTGAAGAGCTGAAAATTTTTATGAGCCTGTCGCTTCTTATTAGGGCAGAAGCCAAAATGGATCTTCGAATGTGGACTTTTAATTGCAATGCTGATCATGAGCTAGCAGCTGAAGATAGCGATTCAGTCTCCGCAGTTCTAGGTTTGCAATGGGATAGACGAGATGACAGCCTTACAATATCTATCCAAAGAGAAATTATTAAAAGAGACTTATAAAAAAACTATTATCTCTAATCCATGCAGTTTTTGACCTGCTGCGTTTCTTTGTTCCCGCCATATTATCTGCGACATTAGTACTTCAAGAAACTTGGCTACAAAATCGAACTGAGACGTGCCATTACCCAAGCAAGATTTATGAGATGGTACAAGAGGTTGTTTAGTCTTTCCTGTCTTAAATTAACTCGTCGCATGGGTTACGGAAATAAGGATTTGTGGATACTACAAGTCTTTTGCGATGTCAGTCAAGCTGCTTCTGCAACTGTAATTTTCTTAAGGAGAAAGGAAAAAGACAAAGTTTTCATGAAATTCGTCACGGCAAAATCATGCATATTACCCTTAAAGAAAATACCTATTCTGCATTTGGAGTTGCTAGCTTGTGTTCTAGGTCATTTGGCAAGGTGTACTGTTGAAGGCTTGTCCTTAGTTGATGTTCAAATATATTACCAGACAGATGTTACTGTGGCCCTTAGATGAATACAAGGGGAAAACTGGGGCGTATTTGTAAATAATAGAATAAAGGAGATTCAGAAACTCTCGAAACAGGAATGTTGGAGACATATCCCAGGGAAATTGAATACTGCAGATGTGGCATCTTGTGGCTTCACTCCTCAACATTTATGGCACTGCAACTGGTGGGAAGGCCCCGAATTTCTGGAAAACCCAGAAGAATGGCCAGACTGGAATTTACTCCAGACGAAAATTCTCTGGGAGCAAAAATTTAAGAGGGAGCAATTCTCAAGTTCAGCATAAAATTAGAAGATTCCAAGGGATATAAATGTTTTTTGAGTTTTTATAAAATAGTTCGATTATTCTTCTGGGTTCTATGCTTTGCTAACAAACTGCTAAAGAAACCCTCCTATGCTTCTGATACCCTAACAGTAGAAGAAAAAATTAGTGCTGAAACACTTCTACGGAGATTAGAGCAAAGGAAGCATTTTCAAGAGAAAGGAGAGTCCATCCACAGACTCTTGGTAGCAAGAGACAACGACGAAGTCCTCAGAGTTAAAACTAAAATCATTGAACGTGATGATGAATTCTGCTTCCATTATTTGACTGAATGGCCTCATAAGAGAATATCATGAAAAGAACTGCCATGCTGGAATGCAGATATTAGCAGCTAAATTAAGAGAGATACTGGATCATTTTGTCTTGTCCAAATGTAATATAAGATCTTGCATAAGCCAATGTGTCATATGTAGGAGATTTATCGCTAAGGCTTTATCCACTCCTCCGATCCAGTTACCCCTTGACAGCGTAAGTAATTTGGCAGTCTTTGAAACAATTGAAAATTATCTCTGTGGCCCTTTACTTCTGAGACCAAAGGGTAAAGCTTGTATTGTCTTGTTCACCTGCACCATGTACCAGGCAGTTCACCTGAAGCCTATCACCTCTCTGAGTACCAAAATGTTTCTACAAGTTCCGAGACAGTTCAATGCCACATGAGACCGTCATGTGACAGTGTATTCCAATAATAGAACCAATTTTACCAGAACAGGCAATGCTCTGAGATGCCTGGATTGGAAAAAAATCACAGAAAATGAGTGTTTTCCAATAAAGTAGAAATTTATCCTACCTATGGCTGCGTGGTGGTGAGGATGATAGGAGCACTTAGTTCGTTCCACCAAGACCCATCTTGTGTGAATTTTAGGGAGATTGTTGGTGAATTTCAAGGAGTTACTAACGATTCTGTTTCACGTTGAATCCACATTAAACAGCCATCCTTTAATGTACATCTGTGAAGATTCAGAAGAGCTCGTACCTCTGACACCTTCCCTATTTTTGTAAGACATAAAACAAGTGAGGGTAACAGATCTGGATTACATTAATTCCCATAAATTGAATGTGCAGGAAAATTACTGCAATACAATCAGACAAGAACTGAGAAGTCGCTTCCACAAGGAATATCTGGCCCAGCTGTAGCAGAAGGCCAGTGTTTCATGTCAGAAATTAAAGGTGGGATACGAAGTCCTCACAGAACTAGACAATAAAAAATGTGTAATTAACTGTGACATATAAAAACATGTAGAAAATCTTCAGCAGTAGAGATGGGGCTACAAGAGTGATACAGGTAAAAACAAGCAGTGGATATTTAGTAAGACCAATTAAAAAAAAAATCTGTGTTTTCAGCTGAAAGCAATCCTGCGCGAACCCTGGCAACTGAAAACAGACCTAGATATGGAAGACTCTTAACATACTCTTAGACATAATGTACCATATAGAATTTTTGGACTTGGGCTTGTGTGGATTTTGGGTAAGGACTTGTGTGTGATGGATTAGTACGTTGTTATTTTGTGGTTTACACGGTAAATTGGCGATTAATTTGAAGTTTATGTAAGATTTGGAGCAAAAGGGAAAAAAGCATTAATTGATTAGTGTGTAAACAAAGGTTCATTTAGTAGCCACATATTAAGTGTCCTGTTTGGAGGAAGGAAATGCGTATGGTCGAACATCGGATATTTTCAAATGGAGGATATCTCTTACTCTTATTTTTGTGAATTTATGTAGCGACACTAGTACACAGATTCTAGTTCAGATAATTTTGGAAAGTGTTTGGATGCTGTTAAAGAATTGTGTTTGACTATAGATGCGTAAATTCGTAAATAAGGTAAGTGGATATTTCCTTCATGTAATGCTAAGATGAATTTCCTTTGTTATGTTATTTCATTGTTTGATTTAAAATGTAGTTTACTCAGATTATACAAGGGTTGGAACTTTAATAGTAGCAACACAGCTGAAAAAATGTTAGAAAATATAGCTTATTTTTAAATTTTTAATGCATCATCTCTCCTCCTTGAAATGTTTATTTAGTTTAGTCCTTATTTTTAATATAACATAGTAATTACTTCTACTTTTCTTGCTGCCACTGTTTGCATTGAAAACGGACTGTCTCAACCTAATTGAGATGCAAAAACGAAACAATGTTACGTCATCTGAAAAGCCGATTCGTGCCGATAGCTGATTGGTTGCCGTGAGATGACGTCATTCCTACTTCTGCTATAAGTATCTCGCGTCGCTCTGGCTCAACGCTTCTAGTTCCTGGTTTACCGGCTGGTGTGTGAGCGGTTTCCAGCCCCTTCCAAAGGATGCCTCCAGTCCGGTGAAAGGATGCCTTGATTCCGGTTTACAAGATAATGGTTCCAGAGTGAAGTTCTTTAGTTCCGGGGGCTGTCCTGTGAGTGACTGCCGTAGGCAGCGTCCATGTTTCTTCAAGGAAGGTGGAATTAAAAATACGTGAGCTGCAACGATTCCTTATGCAAACGGCGTTAGGCCGGTTTTAAGTGGTTTCACATTTAAATTTTTCAAGTGTTTTCTTGACCACTGATTATGGACTTATGGAATGGGTAGCCTGCTTTATTTTAGGCTGCATAGTCACTAGTTAGGACATTTTCATTTTTTTTTTTTTTTTTTTTTTTTTTTTTTTTTTTTTTTGAAATTTGTTTGTATAGAATGCCAGTGTTTTGGAGTACAGGTAAAAATATTTGATGAATGATGATTATGTTATGTTTTGCCTAATACTCTAATATTGTTGAAATTTATTTTATGTGTTTTTATTTTTTTATTATATTGTTAATAAATTTGTTAAGTTCAAAATCTTTTATTGTCTTCAATGTCTGCACAGCATAACTCAGGGAGCTATCATTGCTACCACTGCTAAATGTTTAATTTCTTTAAACTTTAAACTTTGCTTTAGCATCATTTTGGTTATGGGCCCAGTAGCTCCTGAGTTATTTTTAGTGCAGACTTTTGAAGTTTAAAGTTAATTTAGGACTTAAGAGATTGGGGGGCGGTTTTTTGTTAAAATTCAAATATGGCTACTGTTAGTGTCATGCATAATATTGCTAAACTTGATGCATGTAATTATTTTACATGGTCCAAAGATATGAAGTTTGTCTTGAATGAAAAAAAATGCATGGCTTTTGGTCAAAGGTGTTGAGAAATGTCCTTGTTTTAGATGATGTTAGGGCCATTGCAAAAGAAATTATTGCCGACTTTCAAAATAGAAGTCGATTGGCATTATCGTTAATTTATATGAATGTAAGCCCTGAATATAGAAACTTGATATGTGAAATTGATGACCCAGTAGTGTGCATGGAATACGCTTGCCAAATATTTCCAGCCAGATTATAGGTCAAGACATATGTCCCTGTTTTCAGAGTTCTTAAATTGTAAAATTAAGCCAAATGAAAGCATTAGTTTCTTTTCTTCTAGATTAAAATGCAGTAACTGAACAGTTTAGGCTGATATTAATCAGGCTGTAAGAAGACTGTCTATATATGTTTCCAGTTTCTTAGGTTTCTTCCAGATAAAATTTCATCATGTAGTTTCAGAATATTTTGAGGTGGCCAGATGAAAAGTTTATTTTTAAAAAATGTTGAACTTGGAAATTCTAGCAGAGGAAACGCGTCTTTAATTTAAGAGAGATGTAGATAGGGAAAACTTCCAATAAGACTATAGAAGTTCAAAGTACTCCACTGTTGAACCTAAATTTAAGCAGATTAAAGGGTCTCAAGTGTTATAAATGTGGCCGTCCAGGTCATATACAAAACTACTGTAGAATGAAAAGGTAATTTTTCCAGATCACCCCCCCTCACTTGCTTCTTCTGTTTCCTCAGCTGTATCTAGTAGTAATAAAACATCTTCTAAGTGTAAGAATAAACCCAAGTTGAGTAAAAGTAATCATTCCCATGCACAGTCCCATTTTATAGCTCAAGCCAATGTTAACAATTTGGAAGAAAATGATGATAGTTGGATCTTTGATACGGCTGCATCTCATCATTTTTGTAAAATCGTGAATTGTTTGATACTTTTTCTCCTGTGAAAAATTGAGAATATGCTAGTAGCTATTGATGGGGTAACTTTTCCAATTCAATGGGAAAGGGTACTGTTAAAATGAAATTTGGGGATACGAATTATTTTGTCTTAAAGATGTGTTTATATTCACCTGAACTGAAGACGAAATTTAATATCTGGACCTTAAGGGTGGATATCAATGGAGCAAGATTTTATGGTAAAAATGGGCAAATTAAAGTTACTGATGATGAGAATTCAACTTTGTACAAAGGCTAAGTTGATAGGAAGGTAACTTATCATGTATTCCCGAAAAATAATCAAAAAGGGGGGCAAATCTGTAAAATTTGAGGCATCCGCAGTTCAGACATAACAATAGTGAATTATGGCATGGTCGGTTTGGTCAGATAAATTATGGTGCTATTGTCAGGACTAGTAAGAGACATTCAGTTCGAGGTCTTCCTGTATTAAAGCACTCACCTAATTTGTTTTGTGAACATTGCCAAATTAATAAGCAAAGACGAATCTCCTATAGACCTTTAGAAGGTATTCAAGTAAAGAGGCCAGCTTGGAAAGGTTTTCTTTCTGATGTATGAGGGAACTATTAACATTCCAGGTAGGAAATGGTGAACGTTATTTCGTTTCCTTTATTGAACGAATATTCTCGTTATGTGGTAGTGTACCCCATTGTGGGAGAAAAGTCAGGTGTTTGAAATATTTGAAAGGCATATAGCACGTGCAGAAAGATCTTTGAACCTTAAGTTGAAATACTTTAGGACTGACAATGGGCGAGAATATGATAATGATCAATTCAGGTCATATTGTAATAAAAATGGTGTAAAGCACGAATTTACAGATGTCTACACTCCAGAACAGAATGGAGTTTGTGAGAGATTTAATCAAACAGCTCTCAATAATGTACGTGCAATCTTACACGATAGTGGAATGAGTTCTGAATTTTGGTCAGATGCAGTAATGTATTTTGCATATTCATTTAATAGAATTTGTCATAAATGGTCCAAGATAGAACCCCAATTCGAAATTGTACACTAAGCGGAAACCATCAGTACGTCATCCTTAAGGCATTTGGAACGATTTGCCTATGTGGGAATTCCAAAAGCTAAAAGAAACTTCTAAACTTGATCCAAAGGCAACAAAGGGCCGAATTGATTGGATACAGTGTACGAAACAAAAGGGTACAAAATTTGGTTGGAAAATGAACAAAAAGTAGTAGAAACCCTAAATGCTACTTTAAAAGAGTCGAGTTGGAATGCAGAGAAGTGGCAGTGGAGCTGCACTGGGCACCCTTCCTTGATTTGGAATCTGAAGAAAGGTTTGAGTTCCAATCTACTGATACTCCAGTTGGCTACTTTTCCTGAAATAGAGGAAAGAATTGATACCAGTGTATCCTTCTTCTATACCCAGTTGGCACTGCCACTCAATCTACATTGAGACAAGGTAACTTGGCTTCGTAAACCTGTTCCAAGGCCAGACGGCACTCGTACGGATGTGTATTATTTTGAGAGGGGGGTGTAATCAAAGACTACGATCACCAAATGATGTAGAAAGGTATTGCACTGAACATAATATTCAGTATGATCCTACCTTGTTTGATTTCAAGGGAAGCAATACTTATAGTGGTGAAATCGACCCAACTGGCACTTCCTTCAACGTCATTCACCCAAGATAGCTGACTAGAGGTTTCAATTCCAAACACTTATAACCAAGCAATGAAATCCACAGAAAAGGATAAATGGATAGAGGCAATGGAAGAGGAAATGGCCAACATGCGAAAGCATAAGGT